AACCGACTGCGCCACCCAGGCGCCCCTAGATTTTTTATTTTTAATGATGTTAAATCCTCCTAAGAAACCTGTATGTTTTATCCTTATTTATCCTAAGGTTATTGTAGAGGCCACTTTTAGGCAACCAACTTGAGCAGGGGAAGGAAACCTGAGTAAGGTAGAAGGTTCCACAGTGACCTCCTACCCGCTGCTGAATACAAACAGGCCCATTAAGTGACCCACATCAAAATATCCGTAAGTCCTAGCTGAACAATGGGTTACTTAAACCCAGGCATAGGTACCAAAAATTGAGAATTCCATAGTTTCCATACCTCCCCCCCCCAACCCCTGCGCCCTTAACTACAGCCCTACCCTGTGTACCCCACCTCTTGGCAGACAGCCTCTCCTTTGCTAAAGGCCTGTGGTCCCTTGCAGCATATTAGGTAAACTTCTATTCCTTTGTTCTGCCTTGGGTGAATTCTTTCACCACCTGGGCCCCTGGCCTCCACCCGACTGGGTCACTGCACAATTACAAAAATATTCACTTTCTTCTAAAATGGTTAAAGTTTGCTTTCAAATTAGGTTTGTAAGCACCCAGAATGATTTGTTATGTATAGGGTTAGAGGTCCAATTTCATTTTTCCCCATATAATCAACTGTTCCAGGACTATTAGCCCATTGTTTTCCCACTGATTGAGGGGGAGAATAGTTTTTTTTTTTTTAAATAAATCTAAATAAAATGTTAGCAACTGAAACCAACAACATGTTAATAACAATTACAACACTACGAGCAAGTTGTGTTTATCCCAAGAAATCAAGGATGAATTACCTTTAGAAACTATTGATGTAACTGAGCTCATAAACAGAGCAAAGCAGAAAACCCGTATGATCTCAACAGACACAGAAAAAGCATGCAACGGCTAGTATTTTATTTATTGTGTTTTTCCTTAAAAAAACGCATGGTGTGGGGCGCCTGAGTGGCTGGTCAGTTGGGCATCCGACTTCGGCTCAGGTCATGGTCTCACAGTCCATGAGTTCTAGCCCCACGTTGGGCTCTGTGCTGACAGCTCAGAGACTGGAGCCTGCTTCAGATTCTGTCTCCCTCTCTCTCTGACCCTCCCCCGTTAAAAAAAAAACCAAAAAACAAAAAAACGCATGGTGTTTTTAGAAATTTATTAAAAGTTCAGGGCCGCCAAAACCAAACAAAAACCAGGCAGGAGCAGGAGAGATACTGCAGTCTCCATTCCGGTGTAAGTCCTATCACAGCCTTTGCTCTGATGGCTTCCTAAGGCCACTTTCAGGTATGTGTTTCTATGACCACAAATAGCATCTTTGGCAAGTCGGGTTTCGGTTTGGCCTTTATCCAACTCCTGGATTCCATGCAGGGCCTGAGAAGCTGTGAGAAATAAAAAATTAATCAGGCCCGGTGGACCCTGTGGTTCTCCACCTCCAAAAGGGCCAGCCTCTCACGCAATCAACCGGAGACCGGTTCTCTTCTCACCCCGAATCACTGACTGCCAAGATTGACAGATGAGATCGCTCCAGAGACTGGTTGGGTCTGCCCTTCGGTCCCTCCTAATTCTGCCCCTCCTCTGGGGAAAGAGTGGGGACGTCGGTGTGGAATCAAAGGTTGTGCGTGGTGACACGGGCCTCCCCGGGACTGGGGGCTCCCCGGCCACGGTGGTAGGCAGGGGGGCCCGAAAGGGGCAAAAGGAAGGAGGGCCCCGGTGGGTGGGCAGGGGGGCCTGAAAGGGGTAAAATGAAGCGTGACAGAGGGGCCAAGCGGGCCAGCGGCGAAGGTCGGAGGGGGAACGAGGCAGGAACCGGCAGAGATTCACTCCGCGGGAGGCCGCGGGCGAGAGGACGAGAGGCCAGGGCCAGGATCGCGAGAGAATCTGGAGCGCTCCGGTGACCTCGGACCAGAGCTCCCTTCTGGTTTGTGGAGATGAGCCCCAGGCTTGGCCGACCAAGGAGTGTGTGGTTTTTCCGCCTCAAAGCTACGGAAATGGAGGGAGGGAGTATGAACCGGAGCGGCGCTTACGGCCTCAGAGCCAGGTGACCTGCAGGAAACACCTCACACTCCTTAACCTCCCTGTGCGCCTACGCAGGTGTCTCGGGCGCGCGCCTCGGACAGAGGTACACTTTGCGCCAGCCTTCCGCTTACCAGGGCGCCCTCAACGCCCACTGCGCTTGCGCATCCGCTTCTGCCTCGAAGATAGCACACGCTGCTTCAACGCCTAAGGCGCATGCGCCATGGCTTTGTGCTCTCCTTCCGAGAGCCTGCTGAAATGACTGCACCGCCCTCCTCTCGGCGGGCGTGAGCTTCCACTCCGCTCGCCTGTGGCAGCGGCCGTCCTGAGCCGAGAAGCTGGCTAGCTCAGGCCCCTGTTGCTGCGAATGCTGGAGAGATGTGTACGTGCTTGATGCCCGCCTGAGATTGGGAAAGATCTGAATTCCGAAACACGCCCGGCCCAGGTATTTCAGACCAGGGATTGCAGACCTGCGTGAATGCACAGACGCAGCCACTCTGGAAGGCTTAACGGAGGTGTCAGTGTACAAAAATAGCTGGTGCTTATTTGTCAGTGGAGTTAGGTGCTGGACTCAGACGAACAGGAGGTCGCTCGCAGGGATGGCCTGGGGGTCAGTGCAAGGTTGCATGGGGTCATGTGTCTACAGGACCTGTGGCCCCGCAGGATCCCACCCTAGCAGCCCTCCCCATGCCCGTGCTGTTCTGGAGTCTTTGGGCGGGTCAGCTCTTGAGTATTGCAGCCCTGGCCGCTTTGCCGGCTTCTGCGACTGTTTACCATTCTCGCCTCATTCCCCAGCCTTCACATCCTCCATGCTCCCTCTAAACCCTGTCCTGATGTCCTTCACAGAGAAATGGGAGCAGCCAGAAGAGAATGACTATACCATTCAACCTCCCATCTCTGAGTGCCTCTTCCCCTTCCCCCAATCCCTCTGCCAGCCTGCGCTGATTTCCTTCAGATATCTGCATGGCACATTCCCCTGTCTCTTTCAAGTCTTTGCGCAGATGTCACCTTCTCAGGGCCTATTTCCTGACCACCCTCTCCAAACACTCCCTCTCACCCTTCCTTGCTTCATGTCTCTATAACACCAGCTGACAGACTATGTATTTTCCTTGTTCATTTGGTTATTGCCCATCTTCCCCAGCTGCAAGGATAGCTCTGTGAGGTCACAGATTTTTGTCTCCTGTTCTGCTGGTTATATCCATAGCAACTAGAAGAGTTGATTTATTGCCCACATTAGGGAGGCAAGAGATGTTTGTTCACTGAATTGATAATCACCACCATAGCTAATGTCTGAATGTTTTTCATGATCAGGCACAGGACTAGGCAATCTCCATGCATGATCTTAGTGAATTAAATAATTTCCTGCTATCTTGGAGACCTGCCAGCATATCCTGCCTGCCACATGGACTCAATTGTTATCAGGCTCTGTGTCTCATTTATTTATTTGTTTGTTTGTTTATTTAATTTTAGAGAGAGAGCGTGATCCAGGGAGAGGGGCAGAGGGAAAAAGAGAGAGAGAGAGAGAGAGAGAGAATCCCAAGTAGGCTCCACACCCAGCACAGAACCTGGTGCAGGGCTTGATCCCACAGCCCTGGGATCACAACCTGAGCTGAAATCAAGAGTTGCATGCTCAACCAATTGAGCCACCCAGGTGCCCCTGCCCAACCTCTTTTTTTTTTTTTTTTTTAAGTAATCTCTGCACTCAACACGGGGATCAAACCAATGACCCCAAGATCAAGAGTCACATACTCTTCTGACTGAGCCAGCCAGGGGCTCCAGGCTCTGGGTCTCTTGCTGCTTTCTGCAGATCTTCTGTCTCAGTGGAACGCTCACCTCCATGCAGCCCACATGGAGCTTTGATGTGACTCCAATGAGACCAGAGTCCTGGGTCCTTACCTGGTTTCCTCCTGTGGCTTTCAGCTTGGAAGGAAGTTACTTAGGACTTATTATAGGAACTTTTGGCAGGCCCTGTGATGGACCTGTCTCCAGAACTGTGGCGAGATCCTTGGCAGGATCCTGCCCCCCAGAGCCTCTTTCTCAGCCTGCCCAGTGCCAGCACAATATCTCACCAAATGGAGAATGCACATCAGTCTTTTGCCCAGCTGTATCTGCCCCCCCCCCCAGCATAATTTCTAGCTGGGACAGGCACTTGGTATTTGACAAAATGAATAGTCTTCAGGTTCAGGAAATTCTTCATAAAATCTTCAGCCAGACATCCTTCCACTATGAACTTGTGTGTAAGTATTTTAAAAACCATAAATTTGACTCACAGGACTTCAGGTTTGCAGGATGATTTGCTAGAACAAGAAAGGCAGTATGATAGTTACTGGGAAAAGACCAACACTTTGATTTTTGTGTAGTCAGCTACTTTGTGAACACCCAGGAAAGTATCTGAGAGGAGCAATTCAATGCTCTGCCTTTGGGTCAGTGGAGAACATTCAGCATATACTGAATTTTCAGAAAATTTAACAAGCATGTTATTTTGTAATTAAAAATTATAACAGGGAAAATATTAAGATTATGAGTCCCTAAAAAATATACTGACCTAACGTGATGGGACCTCAGGGCACTGAGTTCTTGTGGCTGGGTACTTTGGAGAGTTCTCTCTCCATCTCTAAGGGTATTGCACAGGGATGAAAACTGTTCTTTATTGTACCAAGTATGTGTGGCGCACATATACCCTGGCTGTCCCCCAACCTGGAGGTAGGCATTATCATCTCCAGGTCCAGTAAAGAAGTGACTCAGGACAAGGGAGTAAGGGCAGAACTGGCATTGGGACCCAAGCACTGTCACTGGCTGCAGCCACTCTCTACTTCTTCCTGTGCCTCCCAAGTCCCCACATGTGTAGGTCCATGTGACCCCTTCTGTTAGCTTTATTGTGGAACTGGCTGGCAGGTAAGAGAAGAAGGCCCAGCCACTCTGTTGGAGTTTTGCTGGGGCTCAGGGGCTCCAGTCCTGTTTGGTGCAGAGCTTCACTGTCCTGGGGCCCCAGCTCAGGGCACTGTGCTCCTGAACCACAGCAGGCCTGCCCAGGGACAGCCTGGCAGGGAGGACCAGAGAAATGTTGTCCATTTGGGGAAAATGCTCATGGGGGAGAGGGTGGAGGGTGAGGTGCCAGCAAGGACCTGGACTCAGAACAGAAGGCTGGGCTTCCTGTGCTGCCTGCCAGCAATGTGACCTAGGTAACTCCTCTCCTCCTCTGTGCCTCAGTTGCCTCATCTGTAAAGTGGAAGCATTGCTGCCTGGTTCAAATAGATTGCAATGCTGTGATTGGTAGGTTCCAGTCCTGGGAGGAGATGGAGGCTGCCAAAGGTCACTCTGTGTCCTCCCCTCTCTCCTCAGATTCAGGGCAGTGTCCTGCTCCTGACCATCTGTGCGGCTGGCATTGGTGGGACTTTTCAATTTGGCTACAACCTCTCCATCATCAGTGCCCCGATGTTGGTATGTATCCTCTGTGCTCACCGTCACCGTCCCAGTGGGTGCTGGGTGAGGGCTAACAGCTGCCCACTGTGGGGCTTCGGGCCAGCATCCACTTGGTGGCACTTTCTCCCATGTGTCCACTTTCACTGGGATGTCCCATTGGTCCTGTGGATTCAAATTCAAACCCACCTCTACATCCTCTCTTGAACCTGCACGTCCTCCTGGGTCCCTGATGTCAGCAGATAACTCTACTGTCTGCCCAGTGACTGGGGGTCAGCCTTGACTCTTGCCCCCTCCCCCTCAAACACTGAGTCCTTGCTCATTACCTCTAGCTAGCCATTTCTCCCCGTGTCTCTGCCATGACTCCAGTTCAGATCCCATCTTTCCTGCCTGGATTGCTGGCTTAGCCTCCTCATTGGCATCTCTGCCTTCAGCCTCTCAAGTTTGATCAAGCCACTTCCCTGCCCAGAAACATTCTGTGCCTATAGGAATCAGGACAGACTCATCCACCTGAAGTTCAAGGCCTCCTTGATCAGAACCTGCCCGCCTGTCTTCCACCTTTATTCCCTGAACCCCACTAGCAAAGCAGGTTAAATGCTGTTCCTCAAATGCACACAGCCCCCTCTTTAAGCCTCCTTTGTTTGGGAAGCCCTCTCCACTGCATCTGCAGAAGCCCCACAAGAACCATCCAAACATCCTGCCTTCCTTCAATAGTCTCTGGCTGGAAGTCACCCCTCCATCCCCAGCCCTTTGTGCTGACTGTCACCACTCAGGTTGCATGTCAGCTGTTTGCAACCTCCTGCTGGTTTGCTCTGAGTGAAGCACCTGATGCTGACCTGACCAATGTTGATGTTCAGTGGTGCCCATGGAAAAGGTGAATCTTCCAGCCCATTGATAAAAACTGGCCTGTAACTTAAATCAGAAGGGTGAGTGTCCTGTCCCATAGCTGGGAAGGTTGTGGGGCTGCACACTGTAGGTGCAGGGGAAAGAGCTGCAGGAAGCAGGTCCCAGGACAGAAGTGCAGCTGTCTTCTCCCTGCCTGTCCTGTTCCCTCTACCCTCCTCATTCAGTGACAAGAGGGCAACTGTACCAGACTGACTTCCTGCCAGTTGGAAACCCCCAAAGGAAAGTCCTCCCTAGTAGTTCCAGCTGAAAGGTCTGGGAAGAGTCCGATTGGCTGATTTGGATCATATTCAGGCCAGCCAATCATGTGATCAAGAGGTGGAGCCCTCCCATTGGCCAGTCTGAATCAGGTGACCACCTTTGGACAGGACAGGCTGTAACTGGGGATGGGAGAGAAGTCCCCAAAGGAAGAGAGGATAGCCTAGCAGAAGCCAGGGTGGGACCACATTCTGGGCAGAAACAGTGATAGCAGCCCAATGCCTTAAAGAAAGGATGAAATGCAGGGCTTAGAAAGGGAGGTCCGAGCTAGCTGTATTTGCTTGTTTATTTGTTCATTCAACACACATGTGAGTGCCCACTTCACAGTACACTTACAGGCTGGAGAAGGATCCACCTGCAACAGGCACTCTTGGGCTTTATCTCCCATGGGCCATCCCCAGCCTCCCAAAATAGGACTTTCTTGGCCTCAGAGGCTCCTCCTAATCCCCTGGATGGTCATTCTTGAGGAGTTTCCGCCAAGGGACAGGGAGGCTTGCCCTGGTCCTATCTCCCCTGGACAGTCTTTCCCCCAGAGGGAGCTGGTGGGTGCTAGGCTTGACAGCCATTACCCTGAGCTGGCCTGAGCAGAGGAGAGCTGGCCCGACCCTTAAACTCACTGTCCTCCTCAGGTCCTCCCTCACATCCTGTTGGGAGGCCTGAGATCAGCCAGACACTGACATTTCATCTCTAAGCAAGTGAAGTATGCCCGGGTCTTGCCCAAGTGCAATCCTTCCTAACCATTTGGCCTCCATTCACTTCCCTGAAACTGCAGCTCTGGGGGTGGGGCCCTGGGGTGTCCTAACTACCTGGCTTCAGCCCTGACCTGTGGCTGAGGCCGTGGGCAAGTCCTTCCACTTTCCCAGGCCTAGTGCCAGTCTAAACAGTGAACACAGTAATGTGTATCTAACAGAGTACTTCTAAGGGCTGTGAAAATTGGGGTCCCAAGGAAATGAGTGGCACACTCCAGATAAACCAAGCAGGTTTAGATACCACAAGGGATGATTTACAAAGGTTGAGTGGGGCAGAGACAACACACAAGACCAGGGAGAGCCCAGTAATGCCAGAGTCATTACTACTCCTACCCCCAAAGGGACTCGTGGAAGGAGTCTGGAAACTGGAAAGAAAGAGCCATATGGAGTAGGACCCCTTGAGAGGAGCAGTGACCTTTGGTTGAGTGTCACAGCCAGCCTGGGGTGACCTGGGAACAAACACCCCTTCTGCCTCTCTCTGATGCCCTGCTGGTGCTCACCATTGGCCAAGTCCAAGTCCAACAGAAAGCCAGTCAGCAAGGAGCCCACGGATGCAGGTGGATTCTTGGACCAAAAGCAGGAGGACAAGGGGTGAAGTGGACTCTGAAGGGCAAACAGAGACTGTTCCTGCCCCCTGGCTGGGGAGCAGTATTGCTCACAACTTGGTGCCTGCTCTGCAGAGGCAGAGCCCTGTGGAGGGGAAGGCCTATTGTATCCAGCCTGTCCCTGGGAAGTTGACCGGTATCTCTGTCCACAGCCCATCCAGGAATTCATCAATGAGACATGGCAGGTGCGTACTGGCCAGCCACTGCCCGACCACCTAGTTCTGCTTGTGTGGTCCCTCATCGTGTCTCTGTACCCCCTGGGGGGCCTCTTTGGAGCACTGCTTGCTGGGCCCCTGGCCATCATATTGGGAAGGTAAGGGCTTTCTGGGTACACCCCAAATGCCCTTTGATGATTGGTACCCCAGTCTGTAAGCTGAGGAATGTGGGAGAAGGAAGATGCCCTGTAGGCCCAGGCCTAGGTCAGCTCCCCAGCCTCCTACCCTACCTGTAGTTTCACCACAAGAGTCACATTTCCAAGTGGATTTGGTAGAGGGAAGAGCCCTGTGTCCTGAGGGAGGGAGGACTCCTTGTTTCCAGTTCCATTTCTCCAGCAAGTGATATTGGACCGGAAACAAGTATTTCCTCTTCAGGCCTCATTCCCCTCTCTGTATCCAACTGATGCAGTCTTGCATCAAGTTGCAAGACGGGTGCAAACAAGACGGGCTCATAATGAATGAATAAATTAATGGAAGAAAGAAAGAAAGAAAGAAAGAAAGAAAGAAAGAAAGAAAGAAAGAAAGAAAGAAAGGAAAAAGAGGTGCCTGGCTGACTCAGTTGGTAGAGCATGCGACTCTTGATCTCAGG